TCAGTTAGAGAACCACTGGAAAACCTGGAAGTACTGGACAGCTGTTTCGTCTTAGTTTAGGGCTCTTCAGCAACAGGTTGAAGATGAGGCAGTAACTCATCGAATAAGACATTGCGAAATGGTCGCGCTATGTTGTGAACTGGCAGGATTTAAAATTCAAAGATCATTGGATCAGGTCCCAGTGGCTCAATGGTCTACGAGCTCGCCTTGTAACCAGAAGGCCCTGGGTTCGAATCCCGGTGGGTGCTTACTGATGAAGAGCCCCAAACTGGGACGAAACAGCTGCCCAGTACTCCCAGGTTATCCAGTGGTTTTCTAACTGATGTCGGCTCATGACGAAACCCTCCATGCAATAATAGTAATAATAATAATAATGGTCTTATCAATAATAAGGATGAAAAAGTGAGACAATCTGTGATAACACGAATAATGAAAAAACAGCATGATTAAACAAACAACTGTTCAGGTGGAAGTAGTCGATAAACGTTTACGCAGCACACCAATGTTTGTCATTCTCTAGCCGACGAATGATTGGGACTCAAACGAAGGATAAGCTTGATAGTTTTGCCACATCTATGTGCATTTATCAATTCAACTGCACCGGCGGTAACAGTTATGTTGGGCATACTACTTGACAGCTTAGCCAACGTGTTAGTGAACATCTCCTGTCGTGGTGGTTTGGCAAAGCACAGACAAAAACAATCCGTAGCTCAATTTTGTCACATTTAATTGATAGTGGTCATGTAGTGGAGAAAACGAGAGCCTTCAAAGTAATTCATCGTATCCCACCGAATCTTTCCAATTAACTTCGTATTCGTTTACTGCACGAACACAGCTGAGGCGATAGGCATTCGAACTATTAAACCTAAATTATGTATTCAAAGAAAGTTCGTACAGCCTTTATCCCTTCTTTGGCCTATTAAGACGTAACCAACTAATAACTTCTACACCACCATTTGTTTGTATTTTCATCCCCTTTCTTATCATCCCTTAATCTTATCTTCATTATAAACGTGTTTCATTTCCTTCCCTTACAATCTAACATTACATAATCGGCTCATTTGTTTTTACTAGCCTTTATCGACTACTTCTGTAACAACAGAAGACAAGGGCCAGGCAACAGATCAGTTTTATTACGAAAACCAACAGGTATTTATATGTATTTTACGTACATTAATAAGGCTCTGCCCGCAGAAAGAAGGCGGTCTTCTGATTGGTTGTTTGCAAACAAACGCAGTCTTCTGCTTTCTCGTTTTCGATATTTCTCGGAAATGCGAGCCACTTGTCTGCGAATCATATTTGTCCACGTCTAGGTCAGCTGTGATCGGTTGTTGAATCAGCCTAGAACAATTTCTACCAATCAGCGTAGATCAATGTCTACCAATTGGCTAGCAGCTTGCTCTCACCACACTTCCACCTGAACAGTTGTTTGTTTAATCATGCTGGTTTTCCCATTATTCGTTTTATCACAGATTGCCTCACTTATTCATCCTTACTATTGATAAGACCATTATTATTACTATCACTACTATTATTATCATTACTACTATTATGACAAATTGCACAATTTATATTCACCATCTTATTATCCTATAGACAAAACACCATGATTGGTTGATATTTGAATTTTTATTTGTAAACTTATGTATATTAGAGTTAAGCCTGATGAGATCTAATTGAAACCAAAGTATTTTTCGATTAAATGTCTTATTCTAAATTTTACTATGGGAATATTTAATATATTTATACATATATAAAGTAACTATATAACTAAATAATTTATGATATATATTTTATATGCTGAGTTCGGTCTTGAGATGGGAACAAAATTATCAAGGAATCTCTTAATTTCATGCATTTATTCCCCTTGATGAATTCGAATAAAGCATGAAAAACAACAGCGGTTTGTGCAGAATAATGTGGTACCATCATTGCTTTTTTCGTTGGCTTCTCATCAGTGCAGCTGTTTACAGCCTAAATAAATTATTATTAAATTCATATACAGAAACGTTTCAACATACTTGCAAATTTTACATGATGTCAGTAGACAAAAGATTCCGGAATTAGTGAACAGTGCTCAGAAAGTTACGCTTATATAGGTTTTACACAGGCAGTTCAAGTTTAAACAAAATAAATGTATGCATACAATGGTAAAGGAGTTAGGTAATAAAGACGAGAGATGCGTAAGATGCTGAGTGACTAATAAATTAGGTAACAATGTACTGAGTTCAACTCAAATCATAGAAACAAGAGACAAGCAAAATTACACTAAATCAAGGGTTGAGGTGAGGTTGAAGCCATAGATTACGTAATCAAATGAGAGAATAAAGACATCCAGTTACCAGGCGGGGCAAGGAAAGACTGATAACTGCTTCTTTCGGAACAAATAAATCTGGTTTCAAGCGTTTGATAGAAATTGCTTCAGCAAACTTGGTACTTTGCTAGGAGTAACTATAATTTTATTGAGGTAGCCAAATGCCTTGTCATCTGTGCCACCCAGTACGAAAGATACCCTATGTGAAGTGTGAGGCAAGAAAATCCCCGAACATTGTATATAGTCCTGTTACTGGCGTTTTCCGCCACCTAATCGCTCGTTATTGCCTATTGCTCACCGAGAAACGGTATGTATACAGTGATATAGATGTGACACGTTATGACCATCGTACACTTTTCAAATATTGGCATCCCTACATTAAAGGTCGCATTTTGGATGCCTAGTCCCCAGTGGCTACATTCCATTTGGTGCCCTGAATAACAACGTGAGGGAACTCACCTGGGTAAAGATGATAGTGGAACCGAGAGTCGAGTTACACATGGTAGCCGCCTCCCTCTAACGTCCACTGGGGAAAGTTCAGCATACTTGGCCCAAGCTAAGGGCTGCTGCAGATATGAACAGCATTCGCGTCTGACTACTCAGTTCAAATAGCAAGTGCGGTCTGACGTTTCTTGACTAGTGTGGACTACTCCATACATTCACTTATTGTCATAGTTAGGTCATCCTATGGGCTACCGATATCCATGCTGAAAATTCTATACTTGTACTGAAAATACGGTGTGGAATCAAGCTGTAAATCAAAATTAAATTAAATTAATCCTTAAAGGTTTATAATTTTATTCAGACTCAATCAATACATGGAAGTCATAAGGTGAAATTCATTAATTTCTGAGTTAACTTTATTTGAGACTATTGATACAACCGTTGTATATTACTCTCATTCATCCTATGTTCGCTCAGGTTGGGGACCAAGGAAACTATGGGATCGTTTGTTTGCACGTGCCTACTTAATTGATGATTTAGTAGTATCAAAGTATTCTGCACCAATATTTCGTTTACGTATGAATCGTTTACGTGATAATTTGCCGGTACCAACAGAAGTGAATTATTTTTGTTTAAGTCAAAGTGAAGTACAATATTTTATGATTTCTACTCAGGTATGTTCTACTTTTCTGTCAGGATTAATGCCCAAAACTATTTGTCTTTGGTTACAGGATTTCATCATTAGCTGACATTGGTTAGAGAACCATTGGAAAACCAACTAGGAGCACTGGACAGCTGTTTTGTCAGTCTTGTTTGGGGCTCTTCATCAGTACGCCCCCCACCACCAGGGTTCGAACCCAGGACCTTCTGGTTACATGGAGAGCGTACTGATGAAGAGTCCCAAACAAGGATGAAACAGCTGGCTGTCCAGCACTCCAAGGTTTTCCAATGGTTCTCTAACCAATGTCAGCTAATAATGACATCCTGTAACCAATCAGTCGAATCCCTAAAAACTAATACTTGAATATTATTTGTGTTTGAATGGATGATAACAGAGTGTCTTTTCCTAGTGTTACTTTCTATATAATTTATGGGTTATGCGAAAATATGAAACCATTGTTTGTATTAGGAAACTTAGTGTGCATTAACTGATTTTAGCCAACTTGAAGCACTACATGTATGTTGAACTTTGTGTTATGTAATGTACTTCGAGTTATTACCACGGCCTCCATTTGTAGCTGTCAGTGTGACATTTTCGAATTGTGTCAAAGCCATTTGGGAAGCAATTTTCTGTACTACTGTAACGACAGAAGACAAGGGCCAGGCAACAGATCGTTTATTGAGAAAATCAACAAATATTTATAGATTTTTATGTACATTATTATTCGTTATTGTTAGCAGGGAAGTAACGTCTTCTGATTGGTTGTTTTCTTGCTGAAGGTTATTCTGTCATCACTTTGTTACCGTTTCTTAAACATTCCGTTGATATATCTACTAATCGAATTCGCCCACGCTAAGTCTTCTGTGATTGGTTATTGAGTTAATCTTTGTTCGTGTTTTTTTTCTGATGATCAAGATTTGGGACGTAAACATTGACGTAAATTGATGTCTACCAATTTTGACTAGTACACAGCTCTCACCACACTACTAATGGTTATTTAGAAAGCTGTAGGAGAACTTATTCAGTAGTTTTCAGTTTGAAAACATGAACTTGGGAGATGCTATTGGTTTCACCTGCGTACATATATGTTACCGCGCAAACGCAGGTGAACTTCTCGAGACAATATGAAGTAGTGTCCTTAGAATTTTGTTTTTCGCACGAAGAGAAATTGCCCAAAAGATTAAGCAAATCTATGTGGTATAGTGTACTCTTGAGCTTAATATTATCCCTTCACCTGCAATTTAATGAAACCTAGCTAAAGAATTTCCTTGTACATTTGTAATTTAGGCTAAGCAGATTTTGGGAGATAATTCCACTTCAGTTTTGTGAGCTCGTATCAACGACCAGAGAAACATCCAAAGTTCCAGATGCTACAGTTGTGGATAATGATGGTTTTCATTTGATGTAACGTGAGATCAAGACATCGAAATTACCACTATGACATTGTTCGAGGGATTTAGGAGACTAAGTTGCGTGATTAGAAAGGTAAGGAGATAATTACTTGAGGCCTAACAGACACGGCCTGCTTGAAATCGCCTTTATGGAGATTCTTTTGGGCTGAAGAACTTACTGTCGCCTACTGAGTGTCATAGGGTAGGTCAGGTCAAACCTTTTCCAGCCTCTCTAGCAAGGCAGCCTTGCAGCCGACACCTCTATGTACCACCAGTATGACTTTACCCCGTTATGATAACTGCTTCTGGTATAAGCGTTATTCAGTCAACGTTTCTAACATAGTAGAATATGCAGGGAAATTTGTCCTCGCCAGTACAGCTTGTTAGGTCATTGCGATACATAAGCTAACCCCCTCCTCTTCCTTGACATCAACTTAGTAGCTACCAGTTGGGTTACATGAACTCTGGAAATTCGTAAAGTTATAATTCATTTTCGTGCCCATAATATTCCCTACACATTGGTGATGTATTATCAGTGATACTAGTGTGGCTTGTCTAACAATTTCAATGTCCTGAGTGCAATCTCTGGTGAGATAATAGGTGCATACTGATGAAGAATCCCAATCCACATCGAAATAGGTGGCCAGTACTCGTTGTTTTTTTGATGTGGTTATGTTCTCTGAGCTGGATAGTTAATTTTTTTACGAAGCTTTCATCGCCCTACTAGGCAACATCCTCACCTTAGCTCATACTTCTATTTGTTGAAGTGAGCTTTCAGATTTCTCCACGAGTTTATTGGTCATCTCTCCTGGTGGCCTGACCTTGAAAGTGATGGGTTGTTTTTGCGTATTTTCACTCCCTCTAGGCTACTTACATTGGAACTGATTGTTCCCTTGACTTGAACTTTGACCCTTTATGCGTGAGATTTCCTTCTTATCGGTTGGTAAATTTTGTCAATGTCGATGTGTCTATCGATTGACGATTCACTGGAATACCAGGCTTCTAAAACCATTCCCCAACATTCTTAGTGTTTCCTCTGTCTAATATTTGAACGTTGGTTGTCCCAGTCGAATTGATACCCGTGGTTGTCTCTATGTAGTGAGGCGATATGAGGGAGTGGATGTCATATCTTTTGACGTCTAGCGTATGTTCATGGATACGAAGACGAAGGGGACGTCCACTTTGGCCATTGTAGTGTTTTTTGCAGTTGTTGCAATTTATTTTGTAGTTGTGTTGGTTTTATCTTCTTTCGTTGTTGGGTGTTCGGCTGACATAGAGCCAGCTGAGTGGTGATTTTGTTGGTTTGTGTGCGACGTCAATTCCTAATGGTTTGAAGAGTCTTGCAGGGATTTCTGAGATGGCTAATAAATTCGTGGATAAATCTGAAAGCTCACTTCAAATGGAAGTATACACTAAAGATGTTGCCTAGTATGGCAGTGAAAGCCTCGCAAATGCACCATCCAGCTCAGAGAACATAACTACATCAAACTCATCCATCTGAGCTACAAACCTTCTCCATCATCCTCGTTGTTTTTCGGTGGTCCTAATATCAGTACGTGATGAAGTTTTCACCGAAGCAAATCGAAATCTTGACAAACCTAGAGCGGTTTAAAATATTAATAGCCTTTCTGATTATCTCTTTATTTAAAAAAAATAAGAAGAGTTATTAGTTTTTATTGCTCATTGTTACTGAAGTGGCGACAAATGCAACTGAACTGTCATCGTGTATAGGATTTTCATACATTCAGCAATGTTCTTATGTTGATAAATAAATTCTATGTAGTGACATCTAGACATCCAGAAAAAAAATTTGGGTAGAGAATATCCTTTTCGATAACGTTTTCTTCTGGCTCTATAATTATATATATATATATATATATATAAGTTAGGCTTCTTAATGTGGATCCCAACCGCTTCAGCAATATGTATTAGACGAACTCTTAGGGTGAAGTTAAGATTTGTTGGTATGCGGTAAATGACTTTGAAAGCCTCGTTGACATTAATCTAGTGTTATGTATCCACAAGATGTGATAATAAAGATACTGTCCTGTCCATGTAGGAAGAAAGAAATTTGACATAAACTCTGGTTGATAACAATTATCGAGACAAGTCCATCAGGACATACCAAGTAGTCAGAACACCAAGACCCACTCTCCAACTCCCACCCTAAGAAAGACGTGTACATCAAGCTACTCTATATGGGAGATCATAGCAGCTTGATAACTAGACAAGGATTGAACGCTGTTGTTAAAAAGGCTTTTTATGCAGTTGTTATTACCATTTCTAAACTTATTTATCAACATACTATTAAACCGTTTTCTTTCTTTTTTATCTATGAAATAAATCTCCTCTGTTGCTGCTGCCCGATATGAATCAGTCAACTGTCAGCGTAGACCAGACTGGATTTTTCAATCATAATTGTACCTATAATGAGATCACCAAAGTTACGACGTGTATTCCATTGAAAACCGTCAGTACAACAACAACAACCAGTTTAACACCAAGTATTTGTAATTGGCATAACAGTTTCACTTTTCCACCGGATGTCACCTATTCAAATAATATATGTAGTAATGTTGTATTAAAAGTAGATTATAAGTAAGTATATTGTTGTATATAATTTAAGTAAATTTTTTTAATTAGTTTTTTAATAGTTGTTAAACACAGATGTTGAAAGTGTAAGCTACCAGAAACTACTCACTTTTGACTATGCATACCTGCGTTCCTTTTGTCATTCTAAGTAGTGCGATATGGTCAATAATAATTAGACTAGACATAAAGCGTTAGATTAGGAGAGAAAGTCAGTAAATAACAATGTGGAACTACCTCCCTGAATGTAACATGTCAGTGGATATAGAACGAAACTGGAAAAGAGTTAGGGGTAGTCAAAAAAAACCATGCCACCAATCCATGAAGTCTTTGACTGTTGATTTAGGACCACATAGGACGGAAGGGGGTGGCTGTAGACTGCCGGGAGCCGTCTAGGTACTAAAAATATTTGAATGCAGACTGTTGATGACATGGTCCAAAATGATTCTCAATGAAAGATGCACCACTAGTTGTTATCATCCACGTCCTGAAAGTCCTCAATAATCTTCATGTAGACATTCTATCCCCATATGTGGTGGTTTCATAACATTCCTTCCCTCCAGTTCGTGTCGGTTTCTACGAAATGTGACAATTAAAACCAACACACTAATTTGCAGTCCTGTGTTAATTGTCTATCAGTTAGTGACTCTTTGGAGAAATGTCATCGGTGGCTTATTACTCAAATGGATTACCTACAGACATTTGCAACACCAGAAGTTAGTTAGATACCAACCCAAGCAAGAAAATATTTAATGAAAAGCATGTGACATAAGGAAATAAATAATAATTATTGTTTCCTTTAATTCTTAGAGGAAAATAGGGCTTCAGCAACACGTCTCCATTGCGCATTCGGTTCTCTGCCAACGTTTTCACCTGACTCCACGTCCCCCCACATGCTTTCATCTCCTCTTCACATGACCTTCTCCATGTCAACCCACCCTCGCACTGACGACCACCTCACCGCCTCCCATTCGATAGAGTTCGACTCGAGCGATGGCCTGGTGTGTGATGTCACTCACTGGATGGTTTGTTTTCTCAGAGTATGGCCACAGTCCAGTCCACCTCTATTTCTTTTTGCATATTTGTTGCACAATCGGTTCTTGCTGGGTTGGTTCGTTCATTGCTGGAGATCCCTCCCTGTTGCTGATTTTTTCTGGCCGGCCATCTGATCTTGATTAGTATTGAGCGAAGACAGGTGTTGATGAAGATGTGTAGTTTGTTCGAAGTGGCCTTCGTGACGCGGCGTGGCGCCAAGTCTCTGATTCATCCATATAGTAGCACTGACTTCATATTGGAGTTGAAAATCCGAATGTTATTTTCCATGCTGAGTGCTGTTGATCTTCACACAGACTGGAAAGTAATGAAAGCTTGTCTTGCTTTCCTGATGATCCTCTCATTTTATATCCTCATCAGTTCCGTCCACTTGTAATTGAAACGATGCTTCCCAGTAAGGTAAAAGAGGTTGTTTCTTTCGGACTTCTCCCATTTATGCTGGCTGACTGTTGTATGTTGTTGTTGCTGTTGGTGGTGTTTGGTGAGGAATCTTCATCACCTCTGTTTTCTCTTTGTTCACCTGATGGCCTATCTTCTCTGTATGCTTCTTCTCGGTCGGTCGGTCGGTTTTCGACATAGAACTTTGCACATATGTGCGGCAGTTCAAGTCGCCACAATCTATGTAGCACGCGTGCTATGCTTCTTCTGCTAACTTGTTGCTTTTCACTTGTATATCTTCCAGTTTGTGGGAAATCAGACATATACCATTGGCGAAGTTCAGATCCTCCAAGTTTTTTGTGTTGGTCCATTCCAGGCCTGTCTTCTCGTTGCCCACTGTGTGTCTGTTGCATTATCCGGTCTAACGTGATCAGGAAAATGATTAGAGAAAGTAGGCAGCCAGCTTGTCTTACTCCCGTCTTCACTTTGAAGGATAGGATTTAAATTACTTATGATTTAACCACCTTTGATATTCAATGATTAGTGTTTCATTACTTGATTTCGTGACAGTATTAGGAATAGTTTCGTCCAAAAGTTTTGACTTAACATATTAACATAACCTAATTCTCCTGAATTTTTAATGGAGAGTATCTCTAATTCTCTTTCTCACGAAATAACACTAAAGATGATACGTAGATTTATATGTGAGAAACTTCATGAATTTACTCCCCTTTACTAATTTGAATAAAGCAAGAACAACAGTGGTTTCTGCAGAAAAAAATGGTACCATTATTTCTTATTTCGTTGGCTTCTCATCACCTGCCTACAGACTAAAGACATGATTAAGTTTATGTACAGAAACAATATTAACACACTTACCCAAAGAGTTCGAGTTTAAACAAAAAAAATCAACGTATCAATGCAATTCTAATATTAATAATCACTTTATTCCAAACAATAATAATCGTACAGAGTGAAATTTCCAGCGTTTTGTAATCAAGTGAAAGAAAAGATAAATACATCCGGTCACCAACCAGGGCAAGTAAGACTGATTACTGCTTCTTTCTGAGCGCATAAATCGTTTCCAAGCATTTGATAGAGATTGCTTTGTCAAACTTGAGAGGAACTGAGCTATTTTTTCCATTGATAGTTTTGAGTGATTTTGCGATGTCCACCTCATCAGTCGTATATCGAGGAAATGCCTGATGATGACAACAATGAAAGAGTTTGTTCCCTTGAAACGTAGACTGCTTGCTACATGTTCAGATGATCGCAGGTGTGCCCTACTCTGTGTTCTCCCAATATAACTGCTACCACAGAAACATGTAAATTTGTATACACAGTTGGAGTTAAGATGAGAAGGGTGCCTGTCGACTTTTGATTGCACCAAATACTGCATGTTTTAGGATAAATGGGGAACCGACTTGGGCACAGGAAGGGTTGTGGTTAGTGACGTATTCAATCTTGCGTTTACTATTCCTGCAATATTATTAGCCTTGAATTTGAGTTGAATGAAGATTGGCTTTTTCCTTTCTGTGATTTGTTTGTCATTTGAGCCTTCACACCTCCTGTTCTTGTTTGGAATAAAGCGATTATTATTATTAAAACAACTAGCCCCTTTGATAAATTTGAATAAGGCATTTAGAAGAAAAATTTCACGAAATGATATCGTCATTTCGTAGTTTCTTTACAACCGCTTTACAACTAACATGGTTAACAATAATAAAATAAAGATCATGACAATTACTCAGTTACATAAAAAAGAAAAGTACATACTAATGACCACCAGCCATATTTAAATAGGTCAAGTAGTCCATGGTAGACGAAGGTTGAAGTCTAATTGTGTTTTTTGTACACACAGTTTAGCCTGTATGTGATTAATCCACTAAAGTGCTTTCATCACCTTTAATAACCAACATTGAATTAGGGTTATGTGAAATAACTGTGGAAGTCATTAGTATTGATTTTGTGACCTGACATTAATAAGCGCTTTGCAATGAATGATGCTGGATTGCATTGGGATTTTTCATATACTTTAATAACCATTTTGGAACATGTTCTTTTCGACGACATTGGAACATTCTATTGATTCTACCTATATAGGTGTCACCGCAACTGCAGGTGAACTTGTAGATACAGTTTGAAGTAGAGTTCACAGAATTTTGTCCTCTAATCCTAGGTACAGGGATCGAAAATGTTCGGCATGTGAGGGAAAGAGATGCGGTGTAGAATGTGCGTTTGATGGCTGACCGAAGTCTTTGAGCTGTCAACTGCTTAATCTGGCCACCCTTGAATGGTAGGTTAGTAAAGATAGCTTTCTTTGGTACCGAAGCTGTCTTTTCAAGATGTGGTCTTTCCTTACTGTGACAATTGGTTGATAACGTTTTCTGGATAATCATTAGCTAATAAAAAGGAATGTATATGTCGAAGCTCATCCATCGATGTGTCACTCGTGCATATTTTTCGGGCCCTTGAGAACAAACATTTCACTCATTAGGGAATGTCCACTCCATGTCTGTTTACGAAAAATAGATCGCTGAATCGTTCCATTATCTCTCCTGGCCATTGTAATATCCGGGAAACTGAGTTTGTTATTCGATTCGAGTTCGGAAGTCACTCGGATATTTGGATAAATATGATTAAATAGAGTAATAAAGTTTTCAATAGACCTACTATTATTGCCAATAATGACTGTGTTATTCACATAACGTGTAAATAGCATAAATTCTCCAAGCAAGTATGTTAATATTGTTTCTGTACATAAATTTAACAATGTCTTTATGCTGTAATCAGGTAATGAGAAACCAACGAAATAAGTAAGCAATGATGGTACCATTTTTCTTTCTGCACAAACCGCTGTTATTTTTCTTACCTTATTCAAATTCATATGTAAAACTGTATTCACAAATGAAGTTCACGTAGTAATCAACCGAAATGCTGGTACAAAGAGAAATTATACCAGAGTCATAGGCTTCTAGGCGGTTATTCCAACTGGATTTCTTATTCCTCAGCGATAGGTGATCATCGCCTGTTTTTGTAGTCATAATTATCTGGCCACTCAATGTGGAATCCAAATGGGAAGCGACAAGTGGGTCGTTAGTGTGAGGGTGACATGGAGGAGATGAAAGATTATGGGCAATCGTAGAGCTAGCCAGATGAAGAGGACGGCAGAAAGTAGAAGAAAGTGGAGCAGTCTTGTTGAAGCCCTATGTCCCACTCGGAACTCGAGGGAATGCTAATAATAGTACTCAGTGTAAACTATATATCCTTTCCTTTTACTCAGCCATATTTAATATAACAGATCGATAACAATTCAAAGGTTTGTCAGTAACTATCTTCGCTTTCCTTCTTCTTTTTACAATCAGATTTGTTTATTCTAACGGGAGCATAGTAAAAGCGATAGGTCAAGCGTATTTAGCTAACCTACCTGTAACAACATCAGAAGTTACTTATTATCAAGAATATTCTGTTAAATTTATACATACTACTGAAGTAGACAATGAAGTTAGTACAAAATTACCATCACATCTGTATGGTAAGTGGAGGAATTTGATAAATTTATTCAGATGAATTTATTTCTTAGTGTGTTTTATATTTCTCGTTTTATAAAACACAAAATGACTGAGCAAAGAATATCCTTTTCGATAAATTCCTCTTCCCGTTCTACAATAATATATATATGTTCTAGATTAGTACTCAATAACAATATCAGTGTGGTTTTTAAATAATATTGATTTGTTAAGTAAGATCAATGGAACTACAGTTCATTAAAGATGCTTAAATTATGATAATAAAAAAGATATAATAGCAAATAGAATATGAACTAAATTTAAGGAAATTTCCACAAAAATTCAGGATCATTCAAACCTAGATGGCCTAGCCGGTAAGGATAATGTCTGAACTAACTTTTGGACGCACAAATTAGGCTTGTTAATATGGATCCCAACAGCCTCAGCAATATTTAGCAGTGGAACTCTTAAGGCAAAATTGAGATTCGTTGGTATGCGGTGAATGACCCTGAAAGCATGGTTAACATCACTCTTGTGTTCTGTATCGACAAGATAAGAGAGAATAGCGCTACGAATAGAATTTGTTTGTCCTTTACTTAACGACTATGCAGGGTGATGTTCGGAAGTTCGACGAGAAACGCGCCTAATTGTACAGCCTATGTAACTGGCTTCACAGCAGCTTCGTGCCCTTGTAATACAAACGCAATCTGACAAAGTGCTTGGTTCACAGAGCAAGAGTAATTTGCTTGGATGAATGTTTTGATGAGGAACCTGATAATATTAAACGGTCGCTGAGTGAAAATGGTTATCGAAAAAAATTTATTGATAAGAATATGAATCTAAAATCAAAGCAGCTCAAGGTACCAACAGTTCCCCCAAAAGGCCTTATTCTTGCAAATTCAGTTCCTCGGGGACAACATCAACGAGATACTAACACAGAGCCTTAGAAATGCGGTAAAATGAGCTTTTACTGCTGCCGAATTACGCTGTGTCTCAAAAACCACTCCTCTTTTGCGTTCGGGAGTGAAAGACAAACTGCCTAATTTCTCCTCTTCCATGTGTATCTACCAATTTAACTGCTCCTGTGGAGCCAGTTACATTGGCCGTACAATTAGGCGTGTTTCTCGTTGGATTTGTTATTGACTACCATTCTAGAATATTCTATGTATATAAGTGTGCATATATAATTGTAGAGCCCGACGAGGAATTTATGGAAAGGGATATTCTTTGCTCAGTTATTTTGTGTTTTATAGATGTCTGAAGTGAATATTTTTCGTTTTGTTGACTGCTTTCTGCTTCACCGTCGTTGAGTATTCAATCAATTTATGAAAGCAATCCATCCATTAGGGCTGTACGACTAGGGAATCTAGTATTTTGCTGCCTACCATGATTACATTCACGGTAATATGGATGAAACCAGGTCACAGGAACATGAATGGAAAGGAGTTGTTTGTTAATTGATTAATTGTGATTAGTTTTCAAGAGTTTGTTTGTGGGGATTTGATTTGTGTTGTTTGGAGTTCGATTACGGATGGATATTAGTTGGAGGACCGCTGGAAACTAGCACTGGAGTACCGTATAACTGTTTCGTCCTACTTTAGGACTCATCATCATTACGTGCCCAACTTCCGGTTATAAGGCAAGCTGGGATTCGACTCAGTGGCGGCCAGCACATGAATTCTAATTTCTACCAATTCGTGATTTTTTTAGCGTGACTACCAGTCATTGTCATCGGAAACGAGTATCTGTCCTCACTTCTGAACGGGTGATGGACCCGTGTGAAGTGGTATAATAGTGTGAGCAATACTGAGGTTAGGCATCGGTCGAGTGCCAGGTAAGTGAGAGGGTAAATCAATAGACGAGGTTGTGAAGCTACATCGACTGAGATGGTTAGGACATGTGTTACGTATGCCTAGTCATCGCCTTCCTCGATAACAGGCAATGCTAGCTGACATAGGATCAGGTTGGAAAAGAGCTAGTGGCGGTCAAACCAAAACATGGTTTCACAAGTCAGTGGAATCCACAACAGTTAGTTTAAGCCAACCAGCCAGTCACGTAGGAAGGTGTAGACTTCCTGACTGGTTGTGGTCCTCCGGGTGGCAAACACCAATGAATGCTGAAAACGATTGGTGATGTGGCTCAAAATCGTTCTCAATGGCCGGCGCAGATACATCCACTCCTTGTGACTTATAATTTACAATGAAACTATATTGTTCTTCGTTATTACTATTCCTTTGTCTCATATCCATGTCTACTGTCTGTTATACACTTCTTCTACTTTCTTCTCTCGCTTTGTGAAGTACATGGAGTTTGGCAACTTGAACTGGTGCACATCGGTGCAGAGTCCCATGTCGAAAACAGACAGACAGAGAGCCAGACTCCGGGGGTCACGACCTCTCACTAGAACTCCAGAAAACTTCGTTTTGCAGCCAGTTAGTCACTAGCAAGCAACAGAATAATTTTCAAGGGTTTGTTTGAAAGGCATTTATCAATGAAAAGAGTGAAACTTCAACAACATATCGGTGTTTCCGTAATAGTAGAATGTTAGCTAGTCCCTCAAGTGATCGAGTCTTGATTCGTAGACGACTCACTTCTAAGCTTCATCTGATTTATCAACCAGTAATAAGCCCAGAAGAAAGTATAGGTATGGTGAGAGGCTATCTCACACCTCGCTCTCTGTATCGTGGATGTAAATTTATCGCGAAGTTTCAAATTACAGTAGAACAGCTAATTTGTACTTGTTGTATAACAACTGAGTTATTTCCATATTTAAGTGAACTACCACACAAAATTTATATTATCAAATTTCTTATTCTTAAATTATTGTATAAATATGGTTTTTGTATTTTAACTAAACTTTTCATTAAGGCTATGAAATGAACGATCTCTTGGTTGTTGGCAAAGTGACATCTTCAGCTACACAGCGTTTTCTTGTTCAAACTGACAACGAGACTAATATTCTGTCTGGTACAGTAAAAGCAGGTATGAATTATTTATAATTAGTGAATTTCTTAATAACTCCTCCTCTTAATTTGTTAAATAAAACTTTACAATACAGTTTTCGTCAATTTCTTCTAAGAAATTCGGAACGATTATTCAAACCACACGTAGAGTGACGCGTGTCTAGAATACGGTCCTATATTAAACTTTTTTATTCTTTTACCTGCGCAGTGGAACATAGAGTGGCTTCAAGCTAGAGGCTTGAAGTTTCGGTAGCAGTGGTGTTTTTTTTGCGACATGGGGTTACTGCTGGCCTCATGCCCAAACATCCCTCTCTACCAGTTATATCACTGGCTTAGTGAAGTGTAGGAGTGCGTCGGTGGCTGGGGATCGAACCCTGACCACCTGCATGGTTGGCGAGCATTCTACCGCGGATCCAACAGAGCACATATTAGACATAAAATGATGAAACACAATATACAAACCTCAAATTGTGACATGTCTGTGGCTGAATAACATCAAGAGCTCAATCAATGTGAGTCGATAAGAAAAACAGCAAAGGTGTATCAAAGGCCGATCCACGTGTAGATTTAAACGACGAACAAATGCCAGAGTCAGAGTATAGGGATACAAATAAATAATGTTCAACAGGAAAGGGTATATGAGTAAGGCACATACGGCGTTTTAACGTCTAACTACAAGAAAATAATTACTATACATCAAATAGATTAGTAATACATCATGGCTAAGAATTAATAAATATACTCATACTACTTGCTACAAGGTAAGTAGTATAAATTTGACACGAAAGAAAGAATAACAAAGGACATGAAAAGAATTAATGTAAATAAACCATTAAAATAACGTCGTATAACAGTTGAAGTATAATTCGAGAAGGCAGTAAACTTGGTAACGGAATGTTTATTTGGAACCTGATGTCTCTATGTAGGGAAATTATGTACACTCTATATGGACACCGTCAACTGCACAGATCTTCCGTGTTGTGCTACTTCTACCCTTCCTTCGTATTGTGTTTCTTTGTCTTCTTTTTGTGTCTCCCATGTTTTGCCGCATTCCTGATTCATTCCCTCTCTCTCTCTTTGGCGTTAAATCTACCTCTCGGCTATTTGATATTTTTGTTTCGATGAACATCTCCTTTTACATACTACTGCTAACAAATTTTGTGAGTAGTGCACTATGCAGAAGTAAGTAGATGGAGCTTTTCTCTGATATTAATAGGGAATATTGGCGATGTTGTTTCCTGTTTTGTTCCAGCTCAAAGTAAGGCCCTTAAAACATTTAAAATCGAGGACTGTAGAATATCAGTAAGTCGAAAAATAGAGGTAAAGCGATTCAAGACGTTAAATTTTATCACTAAGAGTGTTATGATGTTATAAAAAGCAACCAGACGCACATGAGAAGAATTAAGAAAAGGTGACTAAAACTATTAGTGGTCTGATACAGTCCAACGAAAACGCACATCCAGATATTGCTGAGGAATTCGGAATAAAATTGATCATTATTACTGTTATTATACCCTCGGGTTCCAAGTGGAACACACGGGGCTTTAACAGCACGTTTCCATTTCACCCTGTTCTCGGCAGTCCTCTGAAGCCGGCCACACGATTCCCCATAAGCTTTTATCCCATCCTCACGTGATCGCCTTCACGTCACCCTCGGATCCACGCCCAACTCGTTCCCAACTCGAGTTCCACTCATGGGCTTGGCGCGCGATATCACCCGACGGTCTGGTCATCATGTACCTGATCCATCTCCAGTTTCTTCGGACTATTTGTTGAGCTACAAGTTCTTAATTGGTTCGTTCCCAGAAATTTTTGTTACTCATTCCTTCTCACAAGCCATACGAATCGGAGCCAGCCAAGGTGGCAGCCACTGACAACAGTTTGCAGAAGGCTGCTCGAAATGCTTTTCGTGATACGCAGTGCAAGTCTCTAACCCACATAGAAGAAGTGACTGACTCAACATTGGTGTTGAAAATTTGAATTTTTCTTCTTGATCTGAGTGTGGAAGATTTTCAAACTGACTTCAAACTGATAAACGATTCTGGTATTGACAACCTCACCTGTAGTTGAAACGATGCTACTCAAATAAGTAATAGAAGCGACGTCTTTCAAATTTCTCCCGCTCGTGGTGGTTGGTTCTTATTGTTGTTGGTTGGTTAACTTCATCACCTCTGTCGTTTATATGTTCACTTAAAGTTCAGTCTTTTCTGCCTCTTCTGCCAGTTTGTTGGTTTTCGCCTGCGAATTCTTGAGTTCGCGTGATATGACACATAAATCATTTTGACAAGTTCGGATTTTCTACAGTCTTCTTGTATCTTTTTGCTCTCCACATTATGTATCATGATGAAGTCGGTCACATTCAGGAATATCATGGGCGATAAGAGATAACCCCGTTAATTCGAGTTTGAGTCATCCTCAGAAATAGACAACAGTGTTGTGTAGAGAGAGAACTGTGGTTTATATATATTCAAATACCAAAATAGAACAACGTAAGACAGTTGAAGTACACAAAAATACAAGAGAAAATAAAATATTAAAGAAAAAATTACCCGCATTACAATGTTTTCCACGTGTTAGGACCGAGTGGAACATAGGGCTTCAGCAGCACATCTCCACTTCACCCTGTTCTGTGCAGTCTCTTTTATCTGACTTTACGACTGCCAATAGGGACTCATCTGCTTCATATCTCCCTCGGACGCCCGATTCGTCATTTCCCATTCGGTTTCCACCTGAGCGTTTGGCGGGTAATGTCATTCAATGTTCTTCTCAGAGAGTGTCTGATCCATCTATATTTTCTTGTACACACTTGTTGAGCGGATGGGTTCTTACTTTGTCCGTTGCTGCTTATGAATATTAAGCAACGTTTAAGTGGAAATCTGAAGAATATAAAGGTACTAATGAAACAGGAACGTGTTCGAGAACGAATTAAGAATGAAGGGATCATTTTATATATTATGTTAGACCGACTTGTCGTGAACAGTGATCAAATTTATGAATTTATGAAGTAAAGGTAGGGATTTCAGGTGTGTTGGTGGTTCAGCGACAGAACGCTTGCCAGCCACGCAAACGTAGCCCGGGGTTCGAATCCTGGCCGACGCACTCCTAAACCTCACTTCTCTGACAGTAAGTCTGGTAAGGAGAGAAGGTTGGGCGTGAGGCTAGTAACTCCATCCCGTAAGAATAGAACAACTGTTACTGAAACTTCAAAGCTCTAGTTTGTAAAGCCCTATTTTCAACTCGGAACGTGAAAGGATAAAATAAAAAATAAAATAATTAGGGATTAAACTTACGACTACAGGACTCCAGGTGAACATAGAAAAGACGGAGGCGATGAAGATAACCAACCAACATAAACAACAGCAAGCAGCACCAATCACCATCAACGGGAAAGGCTTGAAAGAGGTTACTTCCTTCACTTACCTAGGAAGCATCGTTCCAATACAGGCGGAACGGACGAAGCTGTCAAAGTCAGAATCGGAAAGGCAAGATATGCCTTCTGCAATCAATAGTGTTCTCTGAGCTGGTTGGTCTAGTTGCGAAGCTTTCGTCGTCCTTCTGGACAACATCTTCAGCGCCATATTTAGCACAAAGTGAAGTGATTTAAACTTTCTTCATGAGTGATATAATTGCGTCTCCTGGTAACTATCTTTACATATGTATTGATCATTTTCTATTGACTTGGATTTTAAACTTTCTCGTCACCTGATTTACTTTTTATTAGTTGGTATATTTCATCTATATTAACGTGTTTGTTAATTGCATTTTCGCTTGAGTACCAGGCTTCTAGGAATTCTCTGGCACTTTTCGTGTTTCCTCTGTTTAAGATTTTGACATGATTCCAATCAAATTGATGACCATAATTGTCTGTATGCATTGATACTAAAGAATACATATCATGTCTTTTCACGGCTGATTTATGTTCTTGGATTCTGATTCGAAGGGGACGCCCACTTTGGCCGATGTAATGTTTGTTGCAGTTCCTACAATTTATTTTGTAGATGGTATTAATTTTATCCCCTTTTTCTGTTGGATCTTCTGGTTTGCATAATATCGAATTAAGCGATTTGACTGTTTTGTGTGCTATATCGATTTCAAACGGTTTCAGTATTCTACCTGTTATTTCAGAGATATTTCTCATGTGTGGTAGAATGAATTTTCTTGTGGTCTTTGATGATGGTTCTTTACTGGTGTTTTGATTCGACTTTAAACACTTTTTGATGAAATTTTGTGGATAACCATTCTTTTTGAAGACCGTTTGTAGGTACTTTTCTTCCAGGTGACCAGAAAGTTTAAAATCCAAGTCAATAGAAAATGGTCAATACATATGTGAAGATAGTTACCAGGAGACGCAATTATATCACTCATGAAGAAAGTTTAAATCATTTCACTTTGTGCTAAATATGGCACTGAAGATGTTGTCCAGAAGGACGACGAAAGCTTCGCAACTAGACCAACCAGCTCAGAGAACACTATTAATTGCAAATCATCCACCTGAGCTACAAATATTCTCTACTATTTCAAGATATGCATTCATCAACCTGAAACCAGTTTGGAAATCTCCTGCACTCAGTGAGCATAAAGAACATGATTCGGATTTCTAACACTAATGTCAAGACGGTCACTGCTTCTCTATGGGTCAGAAACTTGCACTGCGTATCACGAAAATGATTACAGACTTTTATCAACAGCTGCCTCCTCTGTCTCTACACTGAAGACGGAATGACCAGTCGACCAGAAAGAATTACCACCAAGAAACTACGGGAATAAACCAACCAAAAGTCGATTGCTCAACAAATATGCAAAAGAGAGTGGAGATGGATCGGGTATACCTGGAATAGACCGTTGAGTAACATCGCGCGCAATTTATGCCATCGTTTGAGTGGAATCCAAATGGTAAGCGACGAAGGGGTCATCATAGAGTAACATGAAGGAGATCGTGCAAGGGGAGATAAGAGATTATGGGTAGCCGTTGGCCCAGCTAAATAGTAATGCAGAGAATAGAAGAAAGTGGAGATTTGTTGTTGAAGCCCTATGTTCCACTCAGAACGCAAGGGAATAATAATGATCTTACAATTACACATAATCTCGTTATGTTACTCAGTTAATAATCAATGTGGATTATCTACTTTATTGATCCATAAATTATTCTGTTTTCAGGCGTCGATATGCTTTGTGATAATGCAGTGAAAGATCAGTTTAAATTTGGGATTAATGTAGCCAGTTCCTGTCGTGTTCTACTTGGTTTGAATGATTTTGCAAATTGTGAGAAATTAAGGTATGTTTTAAAATGGATTGTAGTGATACTCAGACTGCATGAAAACTTTTTTTTGTAATGAATTAAAATTTGTATTTATGTACAGTTCAATGTAGATATTTCCAGTTGGTTGGTATTCATAATTCCAATGAACCTCGTGTTCTCAAACCTAATCCTATTCAAGTTGGTTTACGGATTGATAGACAGCCAATGAAAATCAGGGTTATTGAAGAGCTGTTTCTTCCTCGTTTGGGACTCTTCAGAAGCATACGTTCACGGGAAGTCGAACCCAGGAAATTCAGATTACAAAGTTAGCTTGTAGACTATTTGGCCATTGGGATGGACTTCAAAGGGCTGTTAGTTAACGATACTTAGCGCTGTCGTCAACCAGTGCTCTGGGTTCGACTTCGGTTGAGTCATGAGCACGTAGAGATAAAAAATTGCCGAACTAAGAAGTTGCAGCTGTCCAACACTTCCTTGTTTCCACTGGTTCTCTAACTGATATCAAACCATCCTCAAACTTGAAACCACTCAAGTACCCGGAAGAAACTAACACCTGAAAACCGATTCTCTTTCTCAGATACTACACATGATCTTAGCTCAGAGAGCGAGATGGAATGTATTGCATCAACTCCATCTTTTATTCTCCTTGATCATTACAATCAAAGTTATTAGGAGAGACGATTATATCATTAAAATAATAATCCCCATGGCGACATAAAAACGAAGAATTCAGCGAGGCAAATTCTCTTTCCTACGATTTCATTTTCTTTCATGTCTCAATCGGGATTATTAATTTAAATCGACAAATACCAACCTAAAGTTCAATAGACGAGTGTGAAATAGATGATCGGATACACCCTAAACACGTTTTATGGATGGGTTTAAAAGACGTGTAAACATCGATCTTAAGTCCTATCTCTATAATGCGTTTCACGATAGAGGAGCTAGGTCTCCTGTTCTCACCATTAATAGGTTCTGGGTCCAGAAGCAGATGCGATCCCAAGAACCTATTAATGGGGAGAACAGGAGACCTAGCTCCTCTATTTTGAAACATATTATAGAGAAACAACATAAAATTGACGTTTACATGTCTTTTAAACCTAAAGTTTGTGGAAGCTCTGGCTGGCAATTAGAAAGTTTAAACCACCTTTATGCGTTCAAAGCAATAATTCGTCATCACACTAAACCTTCCTTGGTAAACTTTGTTTTGATACCAGCTAGAGAAGATGTACTATTACCTCTGTTATTTGGTTTGGTGATCTTCATTGTTATTTTGACCTTCATTTTGTCCTTTTAACTTGACCTAATTTGTATATTTTCTCACCTCTTAATTCTTTATTAATTTCTTACAAATATTCCTATGACAAGTCCGTGTGTCATCAGACTGTTCGAAATGTACGTTGTGAAAATATATTACAACACGATTCAGACAAATTACGTCTTCTTATTGCTTTGTTTAGATAACAAAACAGTTAGGTGAATTACACAATAAAATCAACACCATGGTAACGAAAGAGATCGTACAAATTGTTTTTGTACACAAAGTTCCGGCTTTATGTTATGTATTGCCAAAGCCTTCACTGTACAAGCAAATGCTGTCGTGTCTCTTTCGGCAAATTTTTGTCGAGCTTTGTAGACTATATCACATGATGTGTCAGATGCTACTTAGTGGTCAGTATCTACAGTATGTTGCAATATCGATGAATTAATACCTTTACGCTCTGCTTCGCTCAACCAAACTGGAGGATGCTCTTGAATTTGGCGGGATTTGTTTCTCGACGAACATCCTATGTACACTTGTCTATGGAACTTTACGTTGACCACTATTCATTTATTTATCTGTTTAATTATTCATTCATATATCTAATCGGTTTGTGACTCATAGTCGTATACACCAATATTATTATTACACTTTAGTATTTCCACCCACTGTGATACTTCAACACATACATACACACACACGAAAACTGATTGCTGAGTAACAGGGGGGTGACATAACTGATGTAATTGCTCAGAAGTGGCTTTAGAATTAAAAATAAAAGTTGTAAATTACGTAGTACTCAGTAGCACAAAAGAAGAAAGTTTTCGAAATTTGATATGGTTAAAATTGTCACTGAGTGAGAATAAAGGTTGAATTAGTGATATTGGCCTCATAAAGTGCTCACTTTCAAAACGCATCTCTGAACAATACTCGGCATGGTTAGCAAAAGGACAATGCAAGACAGTTACTAACCTTATTCTCAAGCACTTGGTGAACTCAAGCTACTTAGCTCCACTAGAGTCGTCTTCCAAGATTATCTACTAGGTGAGGCCAAATGATACAAAGGGCATCAGGTTTCGGTATTTGTGTATGGCGGAGGCATTGGCAGTTCGTCAATACAACCCCAAACTCTGTATACGGAAAAGGTTTGTCCAGTCTCTTATTCTACCATGGTCTTCACTTCTTCATTAGTCGTTCCCTGCAAAAAGAACTTAATTTTTTTATTTGTTTTTACCTTAATATATCTCCAGTGATTTTCCTGATTGCGGTAGAGTGGATAATGCGACAGACAGTTAGTGGGCAGCGAGGAAACACGCATAAAATGGATCTACGCAAAATACTTGAAGGAACTGGATTTCGCCGATGATATGTGTCTTATTTCCCACAAACTGGAAGATATGCAAGTGTAAAGCAACAAGTTGGAGAGAGAAGAAGAAATAAAGACAGGACTTCAGGTGAACATAGAGGGAACAGAGGTGATGAAGATTCCTGGCCAACACCACCAGCGGCAACAACAACAGACAGCAATCAGCATAAATGGCAGAAATCTGAAAGAAGCAACCCCCTTTACCTACCTACCTACCTTTGAAGCTTCGTTTCAGCTGCAGGCGTACGGAACTGATGAAGATATTAAAGCTTTCACTACTCTTAAGGATGTGTGGAGATCAGCAGCGCTCAGCATGAAAAATAAGATCCGGATTTCCATTTCCGAAGTGAAGTCAGTGCTACTATACAGATCAGAAAGTTGGCACGGCGTCACGAAGGGCACTCCAAACAAACTACACACCTTCATCAGCTGCTGTCTTCGCTCAGTACTACTCAAGATCAGATGGCCATCCAGAAAAAATCAGCAACAGGGAGGGATCTCTGTCAATGAACGAACCAACCCAGCAGGAACCAATTGTGTAACAAATATGCAGGAGGAAATGGAGGTGGACTGGATTGTGGCCATACTCTGAGAAAACAAACCATCAAGTGAGTGATGGCCATCTCTCGAGTGGAACCCGACCGAATGGAAAGCGGCGAGACAGTTGGTCGCTAGTGCGAAGGTGACATGGAGGAGATCATGTGAAGAGGAAATGAAAGCATGTGAGCAGACCTGGAGCCAGGAGAAAAAGTTGGGAGAGAATCGAATGCAATGGAGACGTGCGGTTGAAGCCCTGTGTTCCTCAGGAATTAAAGGAAACAATAATAATTTACTTTGATAATTAATTCACTATTATCACTCTCATGTGTTCCTTTTGTACATTTTCTTCTCACCCTCTTCACACTTGTCAAATTGACACTCAACTACCTTGATTCTCAAATTTCTTCCTTTGTGTTGTTGAGTACTACGTAATTTACAACTTTTATTTTTACCTCTAAAACCACTTCTGAGTAATTATATCCATTATTTCACGCCCTAAAACTGATTGTTAGTGTCTATTGTAATTCATCAATATGTACGATTGTACAGCTATGAAAATGAAATTGTCGAAAAGAGAATTTTCTTCGCTGAATTATTCATTCATTATTCATTGACAGTTCAAGAAACTTCACTTAATATTGAAGTCTACCCTGAAAATATTCTCTAGAAGCGTAGAGTAATGAAACCTTCTCAATTAAAACAATTGTCCAGCTCAGAGAACACAACTACAGCAAAATATACTCCATTCAACTACGTAATGACATCGTTCTACTGATGACTATGTCATCGGTGGGACCTCACTGGTGAAGTGCATCCAGTCAGGTGTGAGGATGGATGTCCCGCCGATGAGATTGGTTTGTGGTCGCGCTAAAATCCCGGATCGGTAGAAGTTAGAATTCATGAGCCATTGAATCGGGTCCCAGCGGCTGAATGGCATGCGAGCTTGCCTGTTTGTAACCGGAAGGTCCTGGGTTCGGAGCCTGGAAGTAGGTGCGTACTGTCGATGATTCCCAAACTAGGATGAAACAGCTGGCTGTCTAGTACTCCCTGGCAGTTTTCAATGGTTCTCTAACTAATATCAATCCGGTGTCAACTCGTAAAAAAAACTAATCCTTACATACCAATTACAGAAGACTATGTTTTACCCTACTTTACTTTCTTTAAAATATCTCTTACAGAAGTTTGATACTCGCCAGATTGAATCAATTCATACCAAGTGAAGTGATTGCAGTTTATCCACAAGCATTGAATACTTTACCAGAAGACTGGGTTTTTATTCAAAGGTGAGTTGGTTATTTATTTGATTTTCTTCTTTTTTGTCAACCTGACTTTATTTACATTCATACCACTTTTGCTTTTTTTGTAAAATGCTCTAGATTTTGAATGAAGATGCTATTGATTAAAACTAAACAGATCTACTGGAGATCTGATGCTTTTTTCCCTTCACATTTAAATTCCAAGTGGAAGTTTCAGGATTGATGTTGTTTTTCCAAAAGGTGGATGGGGAGGTGGGTTGCCAGCCCCACCTTACCTCTCTACCGTACTTGCTACTGATTAGGTGAGGTTTAAGAGTGTATCGGCCAAAAGTCGAACTCAAACGACGTGTATATGATTGGCGAGAGAAGTCATTTGAATTTTGATAAATCGTCAGAATGAGCAGTGAAGAACAAGGGACAGTGATAAAGAGTTGGCACATACTTGGGACTCTGATATCAAGATGTTACTGCATGAATGGTTTTCTATAGCAGAAATTTTTGCAGTATCTTAAGATTTCTAACTAGCTTGGTAATGCTGATCTCATATTTTAAAACTGTTATACAGAAGTGGCTTTTATTCTATTACACATTAACCCTTTCATGTCTAGTATAGTGTCTAGATGGCCTGTTGGCAAAAATTACGCTTAACTACATATTAGATAAGCATATTTTAAATATCACACAGTGATAATTCAGTATTAACAACTGCATGACTCTTTGAGTACAATTTATTGCTCATAATCATATCACTTCAGTCACACGATTTCACAATTTGTCTTATATATATATATATATAATTTCCTTTAATTCCTAGAGGAACATAGGGCTTCAGCCACACGTCTTCATTGCGTTCGGTTCTCTCCTAGAGTCTTCACCTGGCTCCAAGACTGCCCACACGTTTTCATCTCTTCTCCACATGACCTCCTCCAAGTCACCCTTGGACGACCAACTCGCCGCTTCCCTTTCGGGTTCCACTCGAGCAATGGCTTGTCTAGTGATGTCACTTGATGGTTCCCTCAGAGTATGGCCAATCCATCTCCACTTCTTTCTGCTTATTTGTTGCACAATCGGTTCTTTCTGGGTTGGTTCGCTCCAAGAGATCCCTGGTGCTGATCTTTTCTGGCCGGCCATCTGATCTTGAGTATTGAGAGTATATATAAGTACTCTTCTGTCTCTCCAACTTCAATGAGGCTGGAATTAGGGTGGCATTTAAACCAAACAAACAACTCTCTCAGAGATAAACTTTGCTTGCTTAAGGATCCAATGGATCCAATTAAGAAAAATAATATAATTTACCAAATACCATGTAATGACTATTAGTGAGGTTATTTTTACATAGGTCAGTCAAACTAGTAGATCGGCGTCAACTAGATTTTTGGGACATAAAAATTTAGCTAACTAGACCTAGAATAATTGACCCTGCGAAGTTAAATAACCTAGAAAAAAGCTCAGCCTTTGCACTGCACTGCATTCACTTGCATGTAACCACAAAATAGTTGATGTAGGACAGAATGAGAGTATTGAAAAGTAATGTAGTTAGATGGAGAGACCGAAAGGTTAATCACTGAGGCTTTGTTAATCGATTCAAAGCCGAACACGGGCAATCGGAATGACGCAACGCCTATACCAGGGATATGGAAAGTGGAAACAAACAACAAAGGGAAGCTGGAGAGACAGAAAGAGAGTATATATATAAGACAATATGTGAAAACGTGTGACTATAGTGATATGATTATCAGTAACAATAAATTCTGCTCAAAACCTCATCCAGTTGTTAGTACTGCATCATCACGGTGTGATTATTAAAATAAACTTACGTAATATGGAATTACATTCTACCACAGTGCGCAAGTTCCACACTTACATTAATAATAATAATTATTATAATAATAGTAACAGTGGGTTTGTTTCAAACAGTATTGTCGATTCAGTTTGGAAATTTTAGCATGTTATAGATTATTGAATCTAATGTTCTGTTGATGTGGCATGGTGAGGGGCAAGACAAAAAATAACAGTTATTAGCGAGCTTAAATGGTGTTTACATTTCTGAGAAAATAAACAAAAAAACTGAGAGGAATTTATGAAACATTTCGTTTTATACCGATGATGATGATGCAACATCTTATATCTAGCACCACTGGAATTTCATCAAAACAACCACTTTTCTGCATTTTGACTATCCTGGGGTTCGACATTCACACTGCAGTAACATATAGACATTCATAACTCTAGTAATCCATTTTGCGTAACTCAGAATGTATACGCTTCTTAATTGCAGGATAAAAATGACTCTATCTAGTCTTATTCTTCCTCATTTCTTGCATTCAGAATGGGACGTAGGACTTAAGTCTTTGAATTTTTAGTAGCAGTGATATAAGAATGGGATCTGGGCAATGTGGTATAGTATAATCCCATTATGTGTGTGAAGAAGCTCGAGATATGTTCTGTTTTTTTTTACACTGTGAAAGTGCCAGTCATCCACATATCTTCACCACATCTTTGTAGTAGGATTAATTGTATTAAGAACCGTCTTTTTCCACCTGTCCATAAATATATCTGCTACGATTGTAGATACTGGTGATCCCATTGCTACGCCTTCTATTTGTCTATATATTTTGCCCTGGAATGTAAAGGTAATAAACGTGAGGCATAATTGGATTCATAAAATAATTTCCTCAGTGGGCAGCTTGGTCCTATGAGTAAGCTCCAGCCTACTTACTCTCACGGTGTTACAGAAAGAACATATCTCTAGTTTCTCTACACGTATAAACTCACTAGTAGAGGGAACAAAATTCACATTTTAGTCGGAAAATGAACAAGGAGAATTAGCTATGATGTTAGATTGTAAAATAAAACGAATAGAAGAAGGCAAACCACACACTAGTGTTTATAAAAAACCAACGCATTCTAATAGATATTTAGACTTTAATTCGTCTCATCCCTTAACTGTTAAGGCAAGCTTATTGAAGTGTCTAACAAACCAAGCAGTAGCACTAAGTAGTACAACAAAAGACCTAAATGATGAAATGAAACAGATAGAAGAAGAAGCGTTGGTGTTAAATAACTATCCTATAAAATTCATTAGGAAGATCAAAAAAGGTCAAAAGCAAAATAAAAGTGAAACTAATAATGATAACATAAATGAGAGAGAATATAAGACATCTACAGTTTTACCATATAAGGAGGGGACATCTGAGACCACACGTAGGATTCCTAATAAATCAGGAATTAGGGTGGCATTCAAACTTACAAACTCACTCAGAGGCAAGCTCTGTAGGCTAAAGGACTCGGTGGACCCAATTAAACAAAATAATATAATTTACAAAAGATCTTGCAATAACTGTGAGTGAGGTCAACTACATAGGTCAAACTAGTAGGTCGGGGGTAGTCAGATTGTCAGAACAGAAGAATTTAGCTAAGGTTAGAATGACTGACCCCGCAAAGGTAAGTAATTTTGAATGAATGCTCAGCAATTGCACTGCATGTGTTAGCACACAACCACACAATAGGGTGTGATTGACCGCCGTAACCTAGGTGAACTTGCAATTAGTCGCCATTTTGATTATAATAATGATAGGTTCAAATGTTGTTGGAATCCAAGAGAAGCGTCCTAAATAACGCCTTGTACATTCTATTAATTGTTGATTAATAGAATTATATTCGTGTGTGTATCCAGCCATGCTGTACTGTTTGACAATTTGAAGAAAATATCTATCACAGCAGATTATCGCCCTAGATGATTCAATATGTTTCTTTGACGTCTTCCATGTTTATTTATTTCAGGAAGGATCCACCTATACAAACATCGAATAAAATGCAAAATTCCTCTCTAATCGGTATTTGTCCTAATATATCTTCAACGATATACTTGAAGATAATTTATGCCATTCAAGGAGAACTACAAGGAATACCGCTGAAACAGATTATTTCTGCTTCAATCGAGTAAGGCATTCCCCCTATTTTCTTTTGTTATTATATTTATTTAAACGTAGGACTTTTCTTGCAGTTCTCATTAAAACTCAACTGTTGAGTACGATATTTCCCCTTAACGAAGCACACACGTTAAGGGATTATAGGAATTTGAAGATTAGGGAGTATTAATACGTATATTTAACTCATTTAGGCATTATAAATGTTGAAAAATAGAAGCATGTGCACAGTCTCTTTTCTTATCTTGGCCCAACAATTTATTTCGAAGGGCAAAAACATGTTATTGGTGGATGGTGACTAGCAGTGGAATCCAGGACAACACGCATTTCGTCCTATTTGGGACTCGTTAGCTAGTGGATGTACTTGCATTCCCCAGTGAGTGATGATGTTTCCACCGAGCCTCGAACCCAGTGCCCATAGTTTCAATTAAATAAGTGGTCTAGTGGATAACGCTTTGGAGTTTGAAACTATGGGCACTGGGTTCGAGCCTCGGTGGTGGGAACATCATCACTCACTGGGGAATACAGGTACATCCGGTCAGCTGACAAGTCCCAAATAGGACGAAATGCGCGTTATCCTGGATTCCACTGCTAGTCACCATCCACCAATTAGATTCTAATATTACATGCCCAGACATCGTCGAAGCATCTGCACAAGAAGCCGACAGACATGTCAACCTGAGACCGAGCACTTCGGTCCAATCAATCGACGGGAAAATCTAAAATTCAATTAGATATAAACACATGTTGATAATAGCAAATCGCATTTATTTAAAGTCATGAAAGCGTTTTCAATAACTGCATATCTTAAGTTTTATTTAACACGTCATAAATGTTTAGTAAAGAGTCTCTTTTCCACGGTGAATTCATTCACTTAGCTGTACAATCGCAGTTATATGTGCTTATTTTTGTATGTGTGTGTCTACATTAGATTTGTCCGATAAGAGTAAAAATAAGTTAGGATTATTATTGTGAAGACATTTCAAAAATGTGACGAGTAATCAAACTGTAACTGGCGGGGGGAAGATCAGATGGCTGGAAAGAATCGCAAACAAGAAGCTATGGGAACAAGCAAAACAAGAACCAATCGCTCAACAAATATGCAGGAGAAAGTGGAGATGGATTGGACACTCGCTGAGGAGGCCACTGGGTGACATCCCACGTCAGGCCGTCGAGTGGAACCCGAAAGGGAAGCGGCGAGTGGGACGTCCAAGGGTGACATGGAGGAGATCGTGTGAACAGGAACTGAAACAGTATGGATTAACATGGATGCAGGTGAAAAATACAGCAGATGACAGAAGCAAGTGGAGACGTGCAGTTGAAGCCCTATGTTCCACTAGGAACCCAAGGGAACAATAATAATAATATAACTGGCGGGGGGGGGGTTGAAGATTAGTAAGATGGCAGTGATGACGTGTTGTCAAAAAAAACTTATTTATGAACACATAAAAGAAGTTGAGTAGGCGTAATACAGTTACGTAATAAGACGAATAGTTCGATGAGTGAGTTGTGATTAGGATACACATAGAAATAAAGGAAAATATGGAATTACGCAGGAGTTCTGAAAATTACAAACGTTGTAAGGAGTTAGAAAGAAAGAAAGAAACAAGCACACAAACATCAAGTCAGTAGAAGTCGACATGGTTGTTACCAAGAGAGTAGAAGTGGTTGGATGATTTTCTTTTGTATACATAACTCTGGTGTCTCCAACTGAATGATTAAACCTTCCGCAATTCAAAGGAGACGAAGTCGTATTGCCTTTGGTAAGTTGTTCTTCACTTTGTAGATCACTTTAAAAGGGGGTGGTTGTTGAGATGGAATGACCAGTGTTGACGAGATGTTCGATCATCGTGCTCCTTAAACAGCCACTATTACCTTTATGCAACCATGCTGGATAGTGTTCTTGAAGCCTTTTCGACAGGATACGCGTCGAATGACGAATTTACCTGGCTCTACAGCAACAGGTGAACTGATATATGCGAAGAAAAGTGGCCAGATGCGAGATCTTGTCCTTAAGGCTTCTGCAGATCGACGGGCGACTGGAGAACATTACACTTAGCGTTGCTGCGAAGAATGGTGCTTTCAAAGAGGCTGAAATGCTTCGCTTGAGGATTGTTCAGTTATATATATATATATATGTATACATATATATATACATAATGGTCAAGGCCCTGACCTTATGTGATGATGAATTTATGGATACGCATCGTTGAAGGGTTTCGCACCGGGCTGAACCATAGTTCCAATGCTCTTTGGCTTTCAGTACTTCTCAGACTGATGACGTTTCTTAACACAGTATAATTTGGAAATCATATATTCATATTTGGCGGTATTTGATGTATCTCAGTTAAAACTAAAACACATTATTATAATTTTCTATTGTTGGCTTGTAAGGATTAGTTTTGTGTTTTTACGAGTTGATCACGGATTGATATCAGTTAGAGAACTATTGGTTGGTGGTCGCGTTAAAGTGACGATTTGGTAGAAGTTAGAATTCTTTTGCTGGCCATTGAATCGGGTCCCAGTGGGTGAATGGTATACGAGCTTGCTTGCTTGTAACCGGAAGGTCCTGGGTTTGAATCCCAATGGGGTGGGTACGTACTGCCGATGATTCCCTAACTGGGGTGAAACAGCTGTTTAGTACTCCTTGGTTTGGTTTTCAATGGTTGCCTAATTAATAATAATAATAATCTACTTTATTCCAAAAACAGTACTTATAATACAGAATGGAATTCTCAGCATTCGTCACAATATTGCATCTGATTTACTCAAAAGATAAATAAAATTAAAACAAAATTAACCGGAGGAATTTGTCCACGTTTACGATATAAAGTCAAAAATATTCGAAGCACGAATTGAGAATATTAAATATAATAATAATAACAGTGAATTTGTTTCAAACGGTATTGTCGATTCAGTTTGAAAACTTTAGCATGTTATAGATTATTGGATCTAATGTTCTGTTGATATAGCAGCATGGTGAGGGGAAATACAAAAATAACAGTTATAATACAACTTAAATTATGTCCACACTTATGAAAAAAAATAAACAAAACGAAAAAATTGAGAGGATTATAAATATAAGAAATACAATAACAATGAAGTTCGATGCTTTAAGGGTGAAGGAAGTGGTTTATTTAGTGGTGCTAAGAAGGTTAGTTAGTTAATGTCTGACACTATTTTCATCACATAAAGTACGTGCTAAATATGGTATAGTGGAAGTTTTATACTTAGACGTACGTGCATAAATTCTTCTGAAATGACTTCTTGTTTTACCTAAGGAGACACAAGGTTGGAGCTGCGGGTAGAGTGGGTGCTCAGAGTCTGACAAAATTCCTTTAGCAAATTTGTTGCATGACATCAAGTGCCTATCAGTGACAATGTCAACGATATGGCCCAATGGGATACCACTCGTCCTACTGACAGTCTTCAGAATTCTACGAAGTATGACACAGTCTTTTCTAAGCAATCCAGGAAAGAATAAGGGTGAACAGTAAAGAAGAGTAGGTAAAATACACGAGTTGACAAACGGTAAGAGGAGGAGGGGTTGAGTGTGCCTTGATGTCAATCCGTGATCAACTCGTAAAAACATTATTATAATCTGTAAAATTTATGAGAAAGTGTAGATAAAACGAGTCATAAAATATTACAATGTATTATTATTCTTATTCATTATTTTAGATATTCACAAGAAAATTGGCAATTAATGTGTGATACATCTAATTATCCATCCTTGTGTAGAAGTTCAAATATTTCACCGAGTACACAAAATTTTTATTTAACTACCGTAATTATGTTCTCTGACATATCTTCACCAAGTGATGAAGTGCTAAATTCCACAAGAAATTGTGATTTAGATACATGTTGGAATGATGCATTCTATGCTTGGACTGGACTGCATAAATTATATCAACAAACTGGTAAAATTGAGCAGACTTTTGAAATTGGCGTTACATTAGGTATATCAAGTCTTGTTTTAATTATATTCTTTATTACAAGACCATTCTTTTGAATTTGAATGCGAATTTGAGTTCTTTTTAACGTTTTGGCCAATGTTTTGTAGTGTTTACAGTGACATTTCATTATTATTATTCTAGATTAACACTGTAATCGTTTGTTATTCTCAGGTTTTGTAAAAGAAGCTCTTGTTGATAATTTGTACTCAATTAACATTATGTCAAGATAAGAAATACACTCTTTTTTAATTCATGGAAAATTTTCCTTGTTTATACGAGTTTGATCAAGGATTGATATCAGTTAGAAAACAATTGAAAACCAAACCAGGGACTACTGGAGAGCCAGCTGTTTCATCCTATTTTGGGAATCATCGACAGTACGCACCCACTACAAGGGCTCGAACCCAGGACCTTCCGGTTACAAGCAGGCAAGCTCGTATACCATTCAGCCATTGAGACCTGATTCCTCAATGGCCAACCCATCAATTCTAACTTCTACGAATTCGTGATGCATTTGGCGCAACCACCAACCAATGTCATCGTTGGGAACTCCATCCTCACTGCCGACTGGATGGACTTCACTGGTCACGACTTCTCACTAGAACTCCAGGAAACTCCGTCCTGTAGCAAGTCACTAGTGGTTATACCTCCAAAACCTCAGGATGGTCGGGGGTGGGTGCCTTGCGCTGCGGGTTGGCCACCCTTCCGCACACCTCTCGAAATGCTCCCATATGACCAGGCGTCTTACATAGCCTCTCCTGAGGAAGTCCTACTCACTGCCTTCACGTGGCGGAGGTGTTCATCACCAAAGTGAGAGGGCGAAAGCGGATGCCCGGCGCTCTTCACCGGGTTGACTGTCCATTGGATGACAGTCTAAGGGAGATGGCTAAACCCTGATTCCAAACCTCCAAAGACTGGCGTATGAAGCTCACTGGAGCTCACCGGCAGACGTATGGACAAAGGGCTTGTTGGATGTCCTGGATGTCTGGCCCCATTCAAAAAGGCGTGTGAACCGAACTCCGGTCACCGGCTGCCAATGGATAGTGGACTCCCTACTCCACTCCTACTGCCTTGTAGGTCACACTTGGTTGTGTAAAGGCTAGGGCTGCACTCTCAAACAAAAGGCCGAGCGATTCTGGGGACATCACTCGTACCAAATTCCCATGAAACTTCATGAACTCTCTTAATTGAATAACCCTGTCGCAAAACGTTGCATCAGATCGCCGCTCCTGGGCAGCGATGATTCCAGATGTTCATGAAGCCGGCTCATCCTCCCGTAGGAGATAGCTGAAGTAAAGTAAAAGTAGTATACCTTACAAAACCAACTCTTGAAAATTCCCATTGTAACGCATAGAAAATCAAAAACAAGTGATTCAATGAGAGAGATTCTTTTCAATAACGAATTTATTATCAAGCTGTAAGAAATTATACCCGGTGAAGGACTTGAATCATAGTTGTGAATGCATAAAGTAATAATAATAGCAGTATGAAATGCAATTAAAATTAAAATGTTTGTGATTATAATCGTAGTTAAATGTCAAGTGGCAAAACTATTAATTTCATACATAGAATAATTCATAGCATGTATAGAACTTGGAAGGGATATGCAATTATAGGATTAGTAGGCAAATCGAATAGAGCAAAAATAAAGACGTTACGTAACACTGCGTGAAATTTGATAACATAGAATTTAATGTTGTAAAAAAGAATTGATTTAGAATGACAAGTGGAACAAGTGAAACAATACCGGGAACAGTTCAAAGTGAGAATAGTAATAGTAACAATTGACGTAATAAAGGAAGAGAATACAAATTGAATAGACAAAGCGAAAAGAAAATTGGTGGAGCCAAAATATGATTAGGCATTACCATACTTTAGCACAGAGGGATTAAGACCATGAAAGTTGGAGGGGAGGAGTTGAACGAACTTTATCTGTATACAGAGATGTGGCTTTTCTATTTCGATAGGCAAAGATGGCTTCATCAATAGAGATGAGTCAGGTACTCGGTGATATAGGCAAATTACGTTTTAAGAACACATTATTCAGCAAAGAGACTCTTTTCAACGAATTTATAATCAAGCTGTACAATCGTTTATATATGGTTTTTATAAAAATTATATCCGGTGAGGAAATTAGGTCAAAGGTGTGAATACATGAAATAATAATAGTATGAAATGCAATTAAAATATTTGTGATTATAATCATAGTTAAATGTCAAGTGACAAAAAAATTAATGTCATATGTAGAATAATACATAAGGTGTATAGATTTTGGAAAGGGGTACATAATTATAAGTTCAGTAGACGAATATAAGATGTTACATAACATAGTGTGAAATTTCATAAGATAGAATTCAATATTGTAAAAATAAAAATGCAAAAATTAATAATTTTGGGTTTAAAATGTCAAGTGGAAAAGCTTCAGAGTGAGAATAGTAATAATAATAATAATGATAATAATAATAATCATAATAATGTATTCACACCCTTGACCTAATTCCCTCACCGGATATAATTTTTATAAAAACCATATATATACAATTGTACAGCTTGATAATAAATTCGTTGAAGAGTCTCCGCTGAATATTGTGCTCTTAATGCCACAATGGGAATTATTAAATTATTGAAAAAATATACGTTTTGCCTTGTAGATGACTTTAAAGGCGTATGGTGTAGAGATAGGGTGATCATTATCTACCAGATGTTCAGTGATCGCGCTTCTTATTGCTCCACTCCCACATTCTCGTAACTACCATGCAGGATAGTGTTCTTGCACCTTCCTGGACAAAAGTCGAGTCAATGAATTTAAAAACATTTTGTTTGAATGCTTTGGTGTATTGTAATAAACTTAAATTTACTGTTCCTTTTGTATAAAATGGTTCAAAAATGAAGGTCTCTCTTTAATGTAAGTGTTCAATTTGAGAACTTTTGGTAAAATATAATTCCATATTAGATAAGTTTCTTGGATATAACACATTTTTTGTATTCCTCTACGTTCTTAGTGAAACATAGGGTGGCTTCAAGCTAGAGGCTTGAAGTTTCAGTGTCAGTGGTGTTTGTTACTTTTACGGGATGGGGTTGCTAGCCTGATGCCTAACCTTCCCTCTTTGCCAGTCCTATTACTGGCTTATCTAGGTTCAGGAGTGCAACAGTGGCCGGAGATCGAACGCCGAACCACATGAAGCGTGGTTGGCGAGCATTCTACCGCTGTGCCACGGACACACGATATAACACATAATCATGCAGCATTACTAACTGGATGACGTCTCGAGCACAGTTCATTACTCCATAATATCAATGTATTCACATGAGTTGATAACTTGTTTTATAAACATTTTCACTCCGCTGCTTCCCTTATTTTTAATTGCCAGTTTCCATATGTCCGGAGTATAGGTGTTGTATCATTTCACTGCAGGTGTCTGGTGTTGATTCGACGAACAAAGATTCGGTGATTAATCTCTCCCTGTCTGTCTCCACCTAACTAAAATAATTTTAATATTTTCACCCTATCCCACCTTTATGTGTGATTATATACACATGTATATGTTGCGATTGTCGAGCGTTTCTGAAGAATATACTAGATCTAGCTAGATATTTTAATAATCTAACTGACCCCGATCTACTGGTTTGTTCTATGTAATTGACCTCACAGTCAGCATTACGTGGTATCTGGTAAATTATATTGTTTTTCTTAAATGGACCCACACGATCCTTAATTCTTCGAAATTCGTCCCTTAGTTGATCGGTTACAGCCTTGCTTAGAATCCTACCTAGAGGTTCTGATGTTTCGTCTTTACTTAATTGAACTATTTGTCTTTGTCAGATAGATCAAGTAGGTGCTTTGCATCTAGCTAATTGATAATTGCAGTTTATTCTTCTAGTCCACGCCAAGTAAAATAGTAAGTAGCATCATCCTAGAGAGAATAAAAGATTCATTGGATGCAGAACTCCACCCGCCAGGAGGAAACTGGATTCAGGAAAGACAAATCATATGCTGATCAAATTGCACCTCTACGCATCATCGTCGAGCAAAGCAAAGAGTGTCAGTTAAACCCGTCGCTACCTCAAATTTGTCGACTTCGAAAATTCCTTCAACAGACAGCGTAAATCGATAAGAAATCTAGAAACTACCCCAAAAATATAGCGTGCCTTAAATCTTTATCAACCTCATTCAACAGCTTGCTATATAACAGTGCACCATGTCAGGTAATCCACAACGGAAAACGCAGTGAAGCTTCTGAAGTGAATACAGAAGTAAAACAAGGATGCTGTCTATTATCATAAGTGATATTCCTGATTGTTGTGAACTGGATTATGCGTCAGACTATGGGGAATGAGAGCGCAGGAATAAGCTGGACCGATAGGAAGACTTTAGAAAATCTAGACTTCTCAAATGATTTATGTTTAACGCCAGACAAACTAGAAGAATTAGAGGCAGGAGAAAACCAACAAACTGGCTGAAAAAGGAGGTAGAGAAAACAGGACTGCAAGTGAACACAAAGAAGATGGAAATGATGCAGATAACCAACCAACAGCAACAACAACCAGCAGCAATCGCTACCACTGGGAGAAATTTGAAAGAGGTCACTTCCTTCACTTATCTAAGAAGCATCATTTCAACCATAGGCAGTAAGAACTGATGAATGTTTCAAAACCAAAATGGGAAAGGCAAGATACGCCTTAATCAGCTTCAAACCAATTTGGAAATCTCCCGCACATAGTCAGCCAAAAGGAATGTTACTCTTTTGGGAAGTAAAGTAGGAAATGGTGAAATTAAACCGCTACCGGAGAAAATCTTGAAGATATAGATGATTTCGTCCCCGAATTCAAGGAGAAAATTGTGACTATTCCTGGGTAGAGCATTGTTTTATAATCGACTCTTGAAGAACTTCAGTGAGATAGCAACCCCTCTGTACAGGCTACTAGGTGAGCCGAAGTTTGTTTGGTCGGAGGAATCGCAGAAGACATTCGACAGGATTAAACAGTTGCTCGACCACCGACAAATGACACTGAAACTACCTGTACCTGGAAGACAGATGCCAGTGACTACGCCATA